CTGATAGTACCTCTAATAGTACTGTCAGGGACCTAATAGTACTGATGGGCTCCTAATAGTACTGACAGGGGCCCTAATAGTACTGATGGGCTCTTAATAGTACTGATGTTCTCTTAATAGTACTGATGGGCTCCTAATAGTACTTTCAGGGGGCCCTAATAGTACTGTCAGTGCCCTAATAGTACTGATGGGCTCCTAATAGTACTGTCAGGGGCCCCTAATAGTTCTGATGGGCTCCTAATAGTACTAACAGGAACCTAATAGTATTGTCAGGGACCTAATAGTACTAATAGTACCCCTAATAGTGCTGACAGGGGACCTAATAGTACTGATGGGCTCCTAATAGTACTGATGGGCTCCTAATAGTACTGTCAGGGGCTCCTAATAGTACTGATGGGCTCCTAATAGTACTGTCAGGGGACCTAATAGTACTGTTGGGCTCCTAATAGTACTGTCAGGGGCCCCTAATAGTTCTGATGGGCTCCTAATAGTACTGTCAGGGGACCTAATAGTACTGTTGGGCTCCTAATAGTACTGTCAGGGGCCCCTAATAGTTCTGATGGGCTCCTAATAGTACTGTCAGGGGCCCCTAATAGTACTGATGGGCTCCTAATAGTACTGATAGTACCCCTAATAGTACTGATGGGCTCCTAATAGTACTGATAGTACCCCTAATAGTACTGATGGGCTCCTATTAGTACTGATGGACCCCCCTAATAGTATTGATGAGACTCCTAATGGTAAAGATAACTATCAAGGATGGAACTATTGATGATGCTGTTGTTGTGGGGGTTGGTAATGCATTAACTGTTCCTTATGACGGGATCGAGGCGCCCACTGCTAGTGAGGACTTGTGATTGAAGAGGCTTTGCTGGTAGGCAATGCGATCGTCTTTTCTATCAATTATTGTTGTCAGGTTGAGCTCGGTTGTTTTCTTGTTTGGGGTCAGGTGTTGTGGCAGGTTTGCAGTTGTTTAAACGCATATATATATATATATATATATAATATATATATATATATATATATATATATATATATATATATATATATATATATATATATATAATATATAATCCAGGACTTATTTTCCTCCTCCAGTGGTGTCAGCAGTTGTGAGATTCGTAGATCCTACCACTCAATAAGGTAGATCGCCTCTACCTTATTATACACGTTTATTCACACCCAGTGAAGAGTGAATAGGATTAAGCTACTTTGTAGAACCTAATTGTAATGCTGGAAATGAATCACACGTATAATCTACTTTCAACTTAAAACTGTATGTACAAATTGTACATTGATTGTTTTGATATGGTGTTACAATTGCTCTCTCGCTGCCAGTTAGGGTCTGGCGGTAGGGGGAGGGGGGTAAATATATATATATGGCCGTATATGTGAGCCGGATGCGTGAGGAGCCAGCACATCCGGCCTAACTTGCTGGGGGACGTTGGGACCGGGGATTATCATGGGTGAGGATTAGTTATCTGTGATGACAGTGGCGGAAGGGAAGTGATAACCGCGTTTGTAAATTAACATCACGGTTGCCAAGCTGAGGAATAACAAACATAAAAGGCCATTACAGACTAGATATGAGTTTGGAGCAAGTCGCTCAATATTTACTAAACCCAAAAAAAAAGATAAGAAACTTCAGGACAAACGCGGCAAGGGTCACTTTGCCTTTCATAGAAAGGAGTGAACAGTGGACATGTCCCAGAAGTCGATGGCTGTAATCTTAGTGCAGGCTCTAAAGTGTTTGGGCTCTTGAATATATATATATATATATATATATATATATATTATATATATATATATATATATATATATATATATATATATATATATATATATATATATTTGCATGAACTTTTATGGAGCTCTGTGCACCAATACAGCTGTGCCACTAAACTATAAAGAAACTGGCTGCAATAACTCTCACTGTCAATATGAAGTGACTGCTGTAGAACATGTAGGCATACTATATACGTACTTGCCTTCCAAGCCTTGCAAAAATAACACTAATAATACTGGTGCTGAGGGAGGGAGTCTCTCTCACTCTCACTCTCTCTCTTTCTCTCTCTCTCTCTCTCTCTCTCTCTCTCTCTCTCTCTCTCTCTCTCTCTCTCTCTCTCTCTCTCTCTCTCTCTCTCTCTCTCTCTCTCTCTCTCTCTCTCTCTCTCTCTCTCTCTCTCTCTCTCTCTCTCTCCCTCCTCTCTCTCTCTCTCTCTCTCTCTCTCTCTCTCTCTCTCTCTCTCTCTCCCTCTGAGTAGCGACTCCCAAGTGACATTATACGGGCGATAATCCCCAATATGCACAAATGAACACCTTCTTAAGAACAATACCAGGTGCTTTATCACCTAACGAATTCATATCTGATTTATATATTATATATATATATATATATATATATATATATATATATATATATATATATATATATATATTATATATATATTATATATATATATATATACTAACAGTTTGTCAGTCAATTTAGGGAACAGGTTTTCTCTAATGCACATGTAATTAAGCAAAACAGCATTGTGACTATTGTTAATTGTCTAATGGATATCTTTTATTCTACGTAAATACGTTCTACATCATTAATCTAGAGGGGTGAAGAAACACTTAATCACTTAATCTTTATATATTTTTTTCAACGGTTGGTCATCAATGTAAGATCTTCAGGAGTATAAGTTTTGCACTAAGAGCACAGGTATACTAAGCTCACATGCTGAAACATTATATATATATATATTTATAAGTTTGCGATCACCTTACCCTACGATTATATTGTTCTTAATCATAGTGAGTGCCGAAGAATAGAGTAAGGCGACTGCTGTCTAACTTCTACTATTAGCTGTCTACTTTAGACCGTTTCCTGTCTCCTGTCTATTGTTACCTTTCCTCTGGATCATTGATGGAGGGCCATCAAACAACCGTATACTCGATGATGAATTCATTTGAATGTTGAATACTGGAATCAGCTCTCGAATGGAAATAGCCAAAAGTGTTCATAGCCTCCTTCAATTTACTAGAACGTGTGATGACCGTGATGTCCTTCACAATATCCTGGCAATTTAGATTCGTGTTATGGTGTAGAGAAGTGTGTCGATTATGTCCCACTTCTTTTCAAATTAAGCGTGAGACGTCTACTCAGATTATTCTTGATTAGTTAATCTAGATTACATTTCAGTGCTCAGTCCCCAGAATTACACTTGAATTAAAATATATTAGTACACTTCAGTTTCTCAGAGAAAGCAGAAATATTATTTCTGATAATGAGGGGAAGCTGTACGAAGCTTGTTATAATAAGGGATTGGGCGAATCCTTGCATCTTCACTGTATGGTTTGCGCTGCATGGAATTGTCGTCGAATTAGGTGACATACACTTAAGGCTATATTCGTTCGAGAGCTGTGTTCTTAGTGCGAGGGATATATTCTTGGAAAAGTCACATTGCTGACGAAACGTCGTAGAAATAGAATTGAAAGATTAAGGGATTTAGTGGCATTTCGCTCTCTAGATCATAGACGTAGAAAGTGTTTATGTAGAATGGTAAATATTTATAAAAAAGTTAACAATAGTCACAATGTTGTTTTATATATATATATATATATATATATATATATATATATATATATATATATATATATATATATATATATATATATATATATATATATATATATATATACATATATTATTGCTTATAATGCTGAATAATAACGCAACACAGGACGCGTAATGGGCGTACACACACACACACACACACACACACACACACACCTGTAAGCCTCTAGACGACAAGTGCCTCATACCAGTACACCATGGACGTCAAAACAAACACACATACATGGAACAAACTTGAACCAATTCCTTCTCATTCTTTGGAGGAAATGGTAATAAACAAGATGACTACAATAGCTCAGGAATACAAACTACCATAAGGAATACAGTAACTGAAGAATACAATAACTCATAGGCTTCTGCTCTCGTAATGTAGATAATTATCACTGTTCTAAACCCGATTTATGTTATCTTATATACACATTAATAATATACATATCATATATATCATATATATATATATATATATATATATATATATATATATATATATATATATATATATATATATATATATATATATATATATATATATATATATATATAACCTACTGAAAACTCACACCCCAGAAGTGACTCGAACCCATACTCCCAGATGCCACGCAACTGGTATGTACAAGACGCCTTAATCCACTTGACCATCACGACCGGACATAATGAGGTGATAGCCGAGGCTATTTGAACCACCCCACCGCCGGCACTCGGATAGTAATCTTGGGCATAGCATGCTATGCCCATGCTATGACCATACGTTGCTATGCCCAAGATTACTATCCGAGTGCCGGCGGTGGGGTGGTTCAAATAGCCTCGGCTATCACCTCATTATGTCCGGTCGTGATGGTCAAGTGGATTAAGGCGTCTTGTACATACCAGTTGCGTGGCATCTGGGAGTATGGGTTCGAGTCACTTCTGGGGTGTGAGTTTTCAGTTGCATATTGTCCTGGGGACCATTCAGGCTTGTTCGCATATATATATATATATATATATATATATATATATATATATATATATATATATATATATATATATATATATATATAATATATATATATATATATATTATATATATATATCTTCACGCCCTGTCTTCTTAACGCCGCATATATTAAACACTAAGGCAAGTCGTTAGCGAGTAGATAAAGTTAATGCTCTGTAGATAATAGGCCGCAGATGTCGTGACCCTGTCGTCCATATATTGCAGACTTGTCGACCATACGTTGCAAACCCTCAATTATACGTGACAATAAACTTTATTTCAGTCAACTTAATTTGAATTCACTCTATTTTATATATATATTGGAGGTTTCGAAACCGTGAATGATTGATCCCATTTGGTGTCTCTTTATGACTTTTCTACATGTCAACGTCTCCACTGAGGTTAGGAGCGTGATGCTCCCATGTTAACATCTCCCATGTTAACATCTCCCATGTTAACATCTCCCATGTTAACATCTCCCATGTTAACATCTCCCATGTTAACATCTCCCATGTTAACATCTCCCATGTTAACATCTCCCATGTTAACATTTCCCATGCCATAACACGATATTTCCATCATGATGCTCCGAAAGCGACTCGGATATATGAGCATAGTTTCCAACATAAATTACAGGTATACTCGCAAGTATTATATTTAGTAATTTTATTCTCAGTATATGTTTGCTATTTGAAATAGCTGTATTTTCCTTTGTACACTGTAGGGTAAACAAAGAAGCAAAAAACTGCTAGTATGCAATCAAATACACTAAAATTGTATTATTGTTACACAATCCACACATATGAACAGTAATTTAAAGTGGGGATCTTTCTGTCTGTCGTGGAACCTTATCAAGTCTTGGACCTTTATCAAGTCCAGGACCGTTATCAAGTACAGGACCGTTATCAAGTCGTCGGATCTTTATCAAGTCCTTGGACCTTTATCAAGTCCTCGGAAATTTATCAAATCTTTGGACCTTTATCAAGTCCTGAACCTTTATCAAGTCCTGGACCTTTATCAAGTCCTGGACCTTTATCAAGTCCTGGACCTTTATCAAGTCCTGGACCGATATCAAGTTCAGGACCGTTATCAAGTCCTGAACCTTTATCAAGTCCTGGACCGTTATCAAGTACTGGACCGTTATCAAGTCCAGGACCGTTATCAAGTCCAGGACCGTTATCAAGTCCTGGACCGTTATCAAGTCCAGGACCGTTATCAAGTCCAGGACCGTTATCAAGTCCAGGACCGTTATCAAGTCCTGGACCGTTATCAAGCCGTGACGTTCAAATCGTTTCATACGTGTGGGTTGTGTTGTGTGCTCCAGCCCCGTTATTGTGACTGCTTTTCTTCAATAAAATACTTTTCCAAGTGAAGAAGATGCAGCGAAACACAGCGCATATAAATCCTTATACGTGTCTTTGGTAGTCAAATATCAGTATCAACAAATGAAGGTCTTAAAATCTGAATATCACTAAGAGATATGTTAAATAAAGTTAATGATGAAAGCGTAACGCACACACGCACGCACGCACGCACGCACGCACGCACGCACGCACGCACGCACACACACACACACACACACACACACACACACACACACACACACCACACACACACACACACACACACACACACACATACACACACACACACACACACCTTAGAAGACACTAGCAGGGGCTCTTTCATGCTGAGTAGAGCACTTATAAGGACACATTATATATATATCTATATATATATATATATATATATATATATATATATATATATATATATATATATATATATTTCTATATGTCGTACCTAGTAGCCAGAACGCACTTCTCGGCCTAGTATGCAAGGCCCGATTTGCCTAATAGGCCGAGTGATTTTCTTTATTTGCAACAAATTATTTCCAATTGGTTTATTTGAATTATTATTAATAAATTATATTAATTAAGAACATAAATTAGTGACGAAGTTATGTTAGATTAGGTTAGGTCAAGATAGGTTAGGTTAGGTTAGGTAGGGTTGGTTAGGTTAGGACATATATCTACCATAGTTCTAACACAAATTAAAAGAAATTAACTCAAGCATAATGAAATGGATAACTTTATCAATCTATAAGAAAAAATTGGAAAAATACGTAAATTCAGGAAAACTTGGCTTAATAGGAAAATCGACCCTTGCATAGTAGACCGAGTACTGCGTTCTGGCTACTAGGTACACATATATATTATATATATATATATATATATATATATATATATATATATATATATCTATATATATATATATATATATATATATATATATAATATACACATACACACATTCATAAGATCTTATTATACTTTAGCAGTCTTATGTATCTGTTTATAAGGGTCAATGTTGTAGTGTATGCCCCTTTAGCACTGGCCAGACATAACCCCAATATTGGCTGGCCTATTTAAAGATGTTCCAACACTGGCAGATACGCTCAGACATGCCCCAATATGGGTAGAAACATTGAGACATGCCCCAAGGTTGGTAGAAACATTGACATATGCCCCAAGCTTGGTAGAAACATTGAGACATACCCCAAGGTTGGTAGAAACATTGAGACATGCCCCAAAGTTGGTAGAAACATTGAGACATGCCCCAAAGTTGGTAGAAACATTGAGACATGCCCCAAGGTTGGTAGAAACATTGAGACATGCCCCAAAGTTGGTAGAAACATTGAGACATGCCCCAGGTTGGTAGAAACATTGAGACATGCCCCAAAGTTGGTAGAAACATTGAGACATGCCCCAAAGTTGGTAGAAACATTGAGACATGCCCCAAGGTTGGTAGAAACATTGAGACATGCCCCAAGGTTGGTAGAAACATTGAGACATGCCCCAAGGTTGGTAGAAACATTGAGACATGCCCCAAAGTTGGTAGAAACATTGAGACATGCCCCAAGGTTGGTAGAAACATTGAGACATGCCCCAAAGTTAGTAGAAACATTGAGACATACCCCAAGGTTGGTAGAAACATTGAAACATGCCCCAAGGTTGGTAGAAACATTGAGACATGCCCCAAAGTTGGTAGAAACATTGAGACATGCCCCAAGGTTGATAGAAACATTGAGACATGCCCCAAGGTTGGCAGAAACATTGAGACATGCCCCAAGGTTGGTAGAAACATTGAGACATGCCCCAAGGGTTGGTAGAAACATTGAGACATGCCCCAGGTTGGTAGAAACATTGAGACATGCCCCAAGGTTGGCAGAAACATTGAGACATGCCCCAAGGTTGGTAGAACATTGAGACATGCCCAAGGTTGGTAGAACATTGAGACATGCCCCAAGGTTGGTAGAAACATTGAGACATACCCCAAGGTTGGTAGAAACATTGAAACATGCCCCAAGGTTGGTAGAAACATTGAGATATGTTCTTCAAAGAAAGGAAAATATATCAGCACGTTCCTAGAAACAATCACAGTTCTAATTATATAGATATATATTTCACAGCACTGACCAATGATCAAATACAATATATTGTACAAGAAAAATAGTAGCAGATATCTCTCATCACAGACTGTTACATATCGTCACAGTCATTCACAGTCACATACGCAAAGAGAGTCACAAACAGTCATATATATTAACAGAGTC